AATCTGTACCCAACCTATTCACAAGCTCAGTCTGCCTCTTAGCAGAACATATAGCTTTAATCTTCTCACTCCATAGCTGAATGATCTCTTTCTCTAACTCTTCATTAGCCTTCCGAAGCTCCTTTTTCTCATACCACAAATGGTTGTACCTCTGGATATCCAGTGGTAGGTTCCTCAATCATGAGAGGATACAATGGCTCTACAAACAGGAAAGGCATCAGTAACCTCCTTGCTATATCCTAGATCCAAGTCAAATAAGGGTCGTAAGTTCGACTGTTACTCTTCCCTAGAGAAAATTTCCCTTTCCTATGGATTCTGCTCCAAGCAGCCTCAACTCTAAGCAAAGTATCACCCTCCAACAATCCAGTGAGATATAGATATTCTTGTATCTCCTCTTCCTTAGGAGGATCTCTCAAGGCGTAATGAAGGGACCAGATTTGGGAAGATGGCTCACAAACCACATATACAACAAAGGCACGTAGCAAGATACATTCTTCCCTCTTTTGTTCTCATTCTTGTAGTGCACGAAATGATAGACGTCGCCTAGCAGCGTAGGTACAGGATTCCCTGAGGCAAAGATATGGAACGCATCCAAATCTACAAAATCTGGAATGTTAGGAAATAGCATGATACCATATATACATAACGCTAAGATAGCATTAAACACCACCCAACAACCATCTTTGGCAAACTGTTGAGCTTTCTCAATCAGAAAAGATAAAGGGAAACCAGGCATTCCACTCCTCTTAGCCAAATGCCCCTTCAGCTCAGAAATATCCAGAGCAAAGCAGCAGCAAACTTAGCCAAATCAGACTCAGCTTCGGTGTGATAGAATGGCATCAAATCAAGAATAGGCACTCCCAACAACACAGAGAACTCCTCTAAGGTAGGCGCCAGAATATAACCAGAAAAAGTAAAGCACATCGGTTATGGGTCATAAAACTGCAAGAGAGCATAAAGACCATTCAACTCATACACTGATGGCTTACAAACAACACTCAGAAGTTTCCCATAGGATTCCTTGAAGTCTTCCATCACTTTCCTGTCAGCCACAAAATCAAACTCAGAAGAGATCTAATGTCAGGTGTTGGAAACTTGTATACCACTGTCTTCCTCAGGCTAGGCTCCATATCAGAGAAATAAGGACACTAGAATCAAAGGGAAATGTACACCTTCAGCATAAATACATGTTAATGAATATGCAATATGAAAATGCAAATGCAAACAAGGGATCAAGACTGTTGTGCTGTTGATTGAGAAGAACCAGCGCTCCGCTTTGACAAGAACATAGCACTGATAATTAGGACCCACTGTGTCAAAATCAAAAGTTTGCACCGACAAGAAAACCGGGTAGGTTGGAGGTAAAGGTTTCCTGCATAACCTTCCCAACTCACAGGTATGAACCTATCACTGATAAGGTACGCCATCCTATGCGGTCATCAGTGTCACAGACTTTCGAGAAACGATGATACGTTCACCATTTCTGGTTTGGCATCATAGTCTAACGAAGCGGCATCACTTAGTTGAATCACAAATGATCGGTTCCCATAGTCGACAATCCTCATATCCAAAATCCCCTCGAGCCCAAAGGGCCAGAAAAGAAGTCATCAAAGAGAATCTCGTCTGAGCGCGAATTTCATGGGAACTAGTGCATGCCAAACATAAAGGTTCACCACTACTTTCCACTTCTAATGCTATGTTTGTACTCAAGTCCGGGTTCGGCTTATCTCTCAATGAAGATATATAGATTTTTGTATCTTAATCCACTTCTAAGGCAATAATGTATAAAGTGAAGAAAATGTTGGGACATTTTGTAAGCTAGAGGACCAAAATACAAGGTTTGAAAATGAAAGAAATAAAATAAAAAATCAGATAAGCCTATTCATTTCTTTTAGTATTAAAAAAAATATTTTTTTTAATATTTTTAAAAGAATAATTTTTATAAAAATATTTAAAGTTTTGACTTAATTTATCTTTTAGTCTCTTAATTTAATTTATGATTTTATTTAGGTCCCTTATCTAATAAAAGTTACATTTTAATCCATCAAAAATTATTCCGTGTACCAACGCCTAATATTTTTTACCTATCTTTATCTTCTTTCCCTTTCTTCATCTTCATCACCATCTTCATTAATCTTTATCAAATTTTCAGAAAAATTAAAATTCTAGAATATTTCTCTACTTTTTTTTCCAGAAAACAATTATTTAATATCCAGTTTATTAACCTTAATTTTTGTATCCTACTAATCATTATCACACTAATCCAAATTTTTCAACAAAGGAGTTGTTGCTTATGACATTGAAGACCATTTTTTAATCCTATTGTTCATCTTCTTTGTGTAGTGGTGTTAGCAATAAAAACAATTTATTTTGGGTTTGATTTGACTTTAACTTAGGATTCTTAAAATGGGTTTGTTAAAAAAAAAATTGTAAGAAAGATGTAATGGGTTTCAAAGAGGGTTAAAATATAATATGGGTTCTTTATATGATTTGCATTCACACATAATAGGAAATAAAGAGAGTAATAGTCATGCTTATCAAACTGGATATAGATGATTTGTCAAAGAACGTCAAACACTAGAAATTACCTTACTCTATCATTTTTTAATTTATAATCTTAGTTTTACTTTGTTTGATTTAATGGGTAATTTCAGTTTCACTTTTGTTTATTGGATTATCTTGAATTTTATGGAGTTTTGTTTAATTTTATTTTTTGTGATTTTAATTTTGTGGATGATATGTGTACAATTTGTTGGTTATTAACATATTATCAAGATTTGTTGGAAAAAAAATTCTTATAATGAATATGATGATAAAAAAAGATTAAGAAGAAGTAGGAGGAAGAAGGTGAAGATATCTAAAAAGAATTAGTTGTTGATGGTGCACTATAAACATTAATAAACTCTCAAGATCCAAATGTGTAAAATTTATCAAAAAGATCAAATGATTAAAACTAAAAAAATAATAAAGTCTACGGTGGACACTCACCAATAGTGTCTCACCTAAGACATTTAAAATTAAAAGTTATCAAAAAGGACCAGAATAACTAACGGAAAAGATTTTGAAGGATTAAAATGTAACATTTATTAGATAAAAGATTAAAGTGAAAACTTAAATTAAGGTAGGGGACTCCAGGACCAATTAAACCTAAAATTTTTTAAAACTTATTTTTTATAAATTAAAAGATTAATTTTAACCTTAAATAAACATATATTATTGAATATTCAAACATACTCAAAATTACAAAAAAATTTATAAAAATAATATATTTTAAAAATAATTTTCATAAAAATTTATTCGAAAAAGTTTTAAATTTAAGTAATTTTTTTTAATTTTTGATATCCGAAAAAGATATAGTAAAAAGATAAAATATCTAAAATAACATTTAAAAAAATAATTTAAACTAATTTGTATTCGTTTTTTAAAAAATTGTAAAATTTTCTAAACAAAAATATGTAACATTATAAAAATTATTTAAAAACAAAAACTGAAACAAATACACAAACATTTACGAGATTATAAAAGGAAAAAAAAACTAAAAACAGACCATAACATTTAATTTATAAACTACTCTATTCAACCGCTTTAACTGCTCTATTCAACACCAAAGGCATAGCACATAGGTTTGCTTGGCCACACACACAATGGCTCAGTCCTGATACAACCATAAATAACACCAATCTTGAAGAGGGAAAGAAGCATCGTGAGAGCATACAACATTGTAAATGGTCTCTATTCCGTTCCCTCTCATCACTCTCGCTCGCCCGCCCACACTCATGTGAAAAACTCTTTCGCACTTCCGTACTCTTCAAGGCTTCCCCCAAATGTTAGCTTTCTCACTCACATATTTCACTCCATTCCTAGGTTTTCCTCTTGCTTCATTCTCGATTTCAAAACCCTCACTTTTTCGTTACTATTCATTCATTCTCGATTTTGAAACCTTCACGTTATAATTACTATTATTATCACTTCTTTTTTGCCGTCAATTGTTACTATTACTCACCGCATTGCAATTCTCATAACCAACTAAGCAAGTTTGAGAAACAAATTATTTTCGTTCTTTTCATAGTTTTTTTTTGTGTATTTGTGAGTTTTTTTATCGTTATTATAAGTATTATCCGATAGAAAAAGAGAAAGAGAAGGAGTGAGAGATGTAGGCTCAGTTTTAGTTAGTTAGTCTTGGCTGGACTATACCACATTTTCTTCTAATGGCCATAGCATGAGTGTTATTTGGATGTAGAAATGGGGGTTGAGTGATGGTGAATGAGATTCTTGTTAAGTTTCAAAGGGTGTGAGATGGAGAGACATTTTGTGTATTTGAAGAGGATGGGATAGTATTTTGGGGTCATGAAGAATGAGTGTTGGAGATGGTGGATGGGACAAGATTGATATTATTTAAGGTTGTATCTGATTGAGTAAAGGAGTGGGCATTCTGTTGATAAGATAAGTGGCAGTCATGCAAGCATGAAGCAAGTAAAATGAGGCCAGTTTCAACAACATGCTTATGTTTGCGCTCAACTGAGCCATTGTGTGTGTGGGCAAGCAAGCTTATGTGTTATGCCTTTGGTGTTGAATAGAGTAGTTAAAGCTTTCAAGGGTAGACTTGCTTGAGCAAGTAAAGTGAGGCCAATTTCAACAACATGCCTATGTTTAGGCTCAACTGAGCCATTCTGGTGGTGTGTGTCGGCAAGCAAGCCTATGTGCTATGCCTTCGGTATTGAATAGAGTAGTTAAAGCTGCTGGTTATTTGCAATCGCAGCACATTCGACAACAAAAATAAACCAAGTTTGTCTCTCCACTCAATATAGTAAACATAGCTGCTCATAAACTTATGTTCAACAAAATTATCATCAATAACCAACCTCTACAACATTAAACATACATCTGAATAACTGCATCTCATCACAAATAATTAGAAGACAATTTTGACCTCAAATTAAGATTAAGATTTAAGAGTAGAATATTGTTCATCATAGAAGATCTGCTATAATTTCTAACCTTCACTTTTTAATATAGTCTTTCAAAACATGACTATTGTCCTCAAGGATTGCATTTCTTCGCCAATTAGCTACTGCTTTAGCGACCGCAGCATTCGCACTACGAATCTCATCGGTAGAAAACTTATGCTCTGTGATTCCTAAAGGTCCAGGCTGTAACACCTTAATAACAGTTTCTACATCATTTTCAAGCTGCCTGTCACAATAAAAGCAATAATAAACTTCCACAAACCCTATTTCTAACCCTAACATTTTGTTCTAGAGAAAACAAAGAAATAAGGCATTTAAACAAAAGATGAATGAAAAAAACGATTAAGAGCGCGATGAAGAAGAGAAAGCAATGATGAATTACCTAATTAGCCCTGAAAATGGCAACGAACTTCGAAACCCTGCAAAAGATAGCTTCATCCCTTCACTTCACACACACGCTATTCCCAGAAATCAAATCCACAATGTTTTGTTTGATACGGCGTCGTATTTACAGGAGGATTCGGTTTGGGCTCATGGGCTATAAGCTGCTGTATAAGATGGCCCATTATCTAACGGACAAGCAAATATTGGATTTTGTATCTCCCTTTTGACTGTAGATACCCCCTCCTAATAAATTGAAATTGTGTTGAACATGTTTTCAATTTTGTTGGTACTTAAAAAAACATTCAAAATCATGGAGAATTATTTTTAACATGTTTACATCCACAAGGTTGTATTATGTAACATTTGCATACTTAGAATCTATGAGAATTAAACTTCCTATAATAAACTATTCCTTTAACTTCTCTAATGCCTAATTGTTTTCTTCTTGAAACATAGATTCTAAGTATGCAAATTACATAATACAACCTTGTGGATGTAAACATGTTAAAAATAATTCTTAATCTAAGGTCAAAATTGTCTTCTCCAATTATTTGTGATGAGATGTCGTTGTTGTTCAGATGTGTGATCATCTATATTTTTAATGTTGTAGATTTTGGTTATTGATGATAATTTTGTTGAACATAAGTTAGTAATATGAGCTATGTTTAGTATACTGACATGAAAAATGAATAGAGTAGTTAAAGTTGCTGATTATTTGCAATCGCAGCACATTCACAACAAAAATGAAATTGGTTATTTGTGAATACTTATTTTTGAAAAATGTAATTTTTTAAAAATAATTTAATAATATTTTAAATATCAAAATTTTATATATAAACTTTTTTGGTTTAATTGAAATTTTATTTTTATTTTTTTTATTTTTTTTTGGATTTTGATCCTTTTATTTTAAAAATTATATTTTTGAACTTTTTTATTATGTTTTGTGATGCATTTTAGTTCTCTTTAATTTAAAATTTATTTTTAATGATGTAGTTTTCAATTTGTTGATGTGTTAATATCCTATCATTTTTATTAATAATAATTATGACACATCATATATATTTATTTTTAATTTTAATAATAATATTTTAATAATTAATAATTTTAATTTTATTATTTAAATGTTTTGAATTATCATGAATAAAATCAAATTATTAAAAAATATTATAATATAATTAAGATTTTGAATTAAAAGTGTATTAGCGTGAATTAAAATTGAGTTATTATCATAATATCATTAACATTTTAAATAAAATTGAATTAACTTATCATAATATCATTAGTGTGAATTAAGTTAGTATAGGTATCTTAAACATTAAAATAAATTTAAAGTAACATTTATAATAATTTACTAATTCAATAATAATTTATCACAAAAAATATAGTTTTTTCCAAAATGTTTTGTCCCTCAAAACAAAACTGGTTATTAAGGAAAGAAGTTCGTTTTTGGGTTATTGGTCATGTTTCTTCTTAATTCTTAATAATTAATTCAATTTTAAATATGATAATTCAAAATTTATTTTATTTATTTTATTCATTTTATTCTATTATTCATTCTAATGTAATTTAATTTAATTAATTTTCAAAAAGTTTAAAATAATAATACAATTGTTAAAATTAAAAATAAAATTATATAATGTGGTATAATTATTATTAATAAAAAATGTCATGCCACTGACATGTCAACATATGTCATGGCCAATTTTTTTTAGTCAATCAAATTTTGTTTTTTTTTTAATTTTGATCCCCTATTTCAAAAATCATAATTTTAGTCCATTTTTTAAGTTGTTTATACCACATATCAAGATTAGGAGAATGTTGTGAAACATACACGCCCTCATTAATATATCTATTAATGAAAGCACTTGAAATCTTTGGAGCAATCATAAGGTAGTAAAAGGCGTATAGCCTCGAGCTGAGCAATCGAAGCATAAGTTTTCTCATAATCAATGCCCTCTCTTTGTTATATGATCTTGAGTCACTAGCCTAGCTTCGTTCCTAGTTATCACTATGTTTTCGTCGAGTTTATCTCTAAACACTCACTTTATGCCAATAACTCGTTGAACTCGTGGAGGGGATAACAACTAATACATCATATCTTTTAAATTGGTTTAATTATATCATTAGTTCTACTAACATCCAATAAGGAGTTTTCATATTAACATAAACTTGAACTAGGAGAGTATTCTTGATTGATTAAGAACTTACTGAGTTGTTTATACCACATATCAAGCTCAAAGGGCTTGTTTAAGACCATACAAAGCTCACATTTTAGTTTATAAACATGATTAGGAGAATGTTGTGAAACATACATGCCCTCGTTAATATATCTATCAATGAAAGCACTTGAAATCTTTGGAGCAATCATAAGCTAGTAAAAGGCGTATAGACTCGAGCTGAGCAATCGAAGCATAAATTTTCTCATAATCAGTGCCCTCTCTTCGTTATATAATCTTGAGCCACTAGCCTAGCTTCGTTCCTAGTTATCACTATGTTTTCTTCGAGTTTATCTCTAAACACTCACTTGGTGCCAATAACTCGTTGAACTTGTAGAGGGATAACAACTAATACATCATATCTTTTAAATTGGTTTAGTTTCATCTTGCATGGCCATAAGCCTGTGCTCATCAATTAAGGCATCTTTCGTGTTTTGGGGTTCAACATGTGAAACAAATGTAAAGTGATAATAAAAATTACTTTATGCAAACAGAAAGTATTAGCACCCTACGCATTTGGCGTACTCGACAGGAACCATTACCCATGCCTCTAGGCTTGGATGAGTTATCTATCTAAAGGCTATTAGCTAAAGAGGGAAGGAGAAAGGTTGAAGAAAATGCTTGCGGATGATTGGGGCCCTTGTGCATACGTATCCTCATAGTGCAATGAGGAATTCAAAGCTCCGTAGTTCATGGAACCAGGGAAGAAAGGAAGAAAAGAGGAGGAAGATTGTGGACGAAGGGTGGAAGAAGGTTGGAAGAAGGTTGCTCACTAAGATCTCGTGATCTTGTGCCTACGTATTCTCATAGTGCAATGAGGAAGTCAGAGCTTTGTAGTTTGGGGAACCAAGACGGAGAAAAAAAGTGGAATTGTGTCAAAACCAAGAACGAAAAGCAATGAAATGGTGTGGAAACCAAGAGAATAAAGAAGAAGGAAGTTGAATCGAGATAAGGTGGGATTCACTGGTGATTCACTGTTTTAACTAGAACACAATAGTTAACTGGAGAGAGAGAGAATTCGACGGGGAAGAAGGAAATTGGTGTTTAATCGACAGACGGTGATCAAGCAAAGAAATGGGTATTTAATCAATAAGTGATTAATCCAATAAGGAGAGGAGAAAATGGTTTTAACAGACGAATTGTGATCAACCAAAAGGACGGGTGTGGAACCAATCGAAGGTCGTGACCCAAGAGAACGGGTGTGGAACCAAGCGAAAATTGCTAATCCAAAGGGGTTCGGTACACTAACTGACCAGCAATATTGACTGAGGAGAAGGTATTTGAACCAAAAGAAGGTTACCCAAAGGTGTAGGTATTTGAACCAAAAGAAGGTTGCTAACTCACAATGATATTTGTTTTAACAGACGAACTATGATCAACCAAAGAACAGGTGGTAATTAAGAGGTGATTAACCCAACAAGAAAGATTAGTTTTAACAGGCGGACTGTGACTAATCAAAGAGCAGGTGATGAAATAAGAGAAGGTGATTAATCCAAGGAGGATTGGTTTTAACAGGCGAACTGTGATCAACCAAAGAACAGATGATGAACTAACAGGTTATTAACCTATAGAAACATTAGTTTTAACAGGTGGACTATGATCAACCAAAAAACGGATGATGAACCAAGAGGTGGTTAACCCACAGAAAGATTGGTTTTAACGGGCGAACTGTGATCAACCAAAAAACGAGTGATGAACCAAGAGGTGATTAACCCACAAAAAGATTGGTTTTAACAGGCGAACTGTGATAAACCAAAGAACGGGTGACGAACCAAGAAGTGATTAACCTACATAAAGATTGGTTTTAACAGGCAGACTGTGATCAACCAAAGAATGAGTGATTAACCAAGTTGTGATTAACCTAAGAGAAACTCAGTATGTTAAAAGATGAACTGTGGTAAACTGAGGGAAGGAAGACATTGATCTTGAACCAAGGAAATGGTAATTGATCAAAGGAAAGATTGAAAGGGTATGAGTGATCAAGGATCAACTCTGGTGAGGATCGGGAGACAATACAGTCTGGAGATAGAAGTGATTATTCCAGGAGCAGGGTCATTCGTCCCCTACCCAAAATAACTAGAATGAGTATAAGATTTCTCCATTCTCATCCTTTCTCTAGCACCCAAAGTATAGTCAGAAATTGAAACCGATACAGTAACAACGCAGTTTGTACAATGCTCCAATGCATTGTGCAGACCTTCGACTCAACAGGATCAAGAAAGAAAGACTCTAAGAAGATCCTAAAGAAGAGATTGGGGGAAGATTAACCAATTAAAACAAGGTTTTGATCAATCGATCAAAGGGAAAAAACATATCAACAACCTTTCAAGCGAGTTGAAAGATCATCAAAGCAAGTGTACGAGATAAGGTTTAACAAGATTAAATTTTCTCAAGGAAGAACAAATCCAATGCATCAAATCGAAACTGTCAAGCATTAACAAAGACAAGGTAGCATGGATCACTAATCATAACCATGTTAACACAAAAACAAGAATTGTGCAAAAAGTGCTTTAAACATATGATCAAATTGCAAAATAATTGAGGAAAATCATGCAGTTAATCGATCAAAAGTCATTTCAAATAGATTCTCCCCTAAAGCAGTAGCATTAACATGAATACAAGTAAGCATGAGAAGCCACAAGAAAATTATGCAAAATAACCCTCAAAAGCAAGATTTTTGCAAAATATACCACTGGTAACCGGTTACTTCATGAGGTAACCGATTACCTCAGGAAAGACAACACTTCCAGGGGCGCAGACTGGGCAAAGTAACCAGTTACATGGTGAGGTAACCGGTTACCTCAGCAAAAGCAGAATTTCCAAAAGCACTTTTGAGAA